ACTTTTTGATTCCCAGGAGCCTGAGTCCGATGAAAGCCACCTAGGATCCATCGGAATCAGATCAACTTGGGGAACCCTGCCATTGTGATGAATTGTGCGGATTTGGTGGCGCTGAGTCTGATGAGTCCATTCTGATGAATCCTAGGTAGGATTCGTCGGAATGGATAGGTCCAATCTAGAAATCCGTCGGAATGGAGGTGTCAAATCCAGAAATCCGTCGGAATGGGAATGTCAAATCTAGAAATCCGTCGGAATGGTGTATGTCAAATCTAGAAATCCGTCGGAATGGGGTATGTCAAATCCGGGAATTCGTCGGAATGGGGAAGTCGAGACCAGGTCAAATCCAGAACACAGGATAACTCCGGACCGGACACACCTTGGTTTTAAGTGGTGGATGGGAACCTGCAACCTCCTTGAACTATTGAATGAATCCTTTCCCGACAGTTAAATCTCCCTTGCCCAGGTCATCTCTACCAGACCGAGGCTCGTTCAAGGCTCAGCGGCCTGCAAACGGGTAGAAAAGAAGCGGAACGCTTCGAGTTTGTCTTGCACCCTTTCAACTTTGCATCCTCAAGCACGTGCAAACCATCAATTGGTTGGAATAATACCTTTGCAGGATTTTGCTCTAAGACTTTAAGTCTTGGGTCGTTTTTGGTCTTAGTGCCTGACTCTCGATGGGTAAGCGCAAACCGTCGAACGGAAGCCAAACAAACCAAAAGACAAAGCAGCAGAAAAGCGGAGATGCGGCTCCCAAACCAGCCTATGTCCAAAACATCACAACTTGGCCACTCGCCTGTTCCTCTAATGATGGGTCTTTGCCTTTCTTTTGCATGTGCTGAAATCTCTTTCGCTAACATGCTCAGCCAGCCTGAGTGAGGATCGCTGAGAACATGATCTCAGAAGGTGGTGTCGATGCATACCTGACCAATAAATATTCGAACAAGGCACCGGGGCAAAGAGAGGTGATTGTTGTGACTGGTTGAATCTCTTGACTGGGGCAATGAAATCAAAGACTCGTCTAATTGATTTGAGTTTTGGAAGTTCGACCCTGATTTTCCTTTCATTCGAAGTACGGCCGATTGAAAAACTTGAAAGCGACTCTTATCGTTCAGGCTGCAATGCAGGACTTCGCAAAGTGGTTGGACACGACCTTTGAACCGGACCCGTCGCCAAAGCCTGAGCTGAATTTTTGATGATACCCAACTCTTAGTATTAGTCTAGTGCTGCCACATGCTGCCACCATCCTTCCCGGCCAGGAAAACATACTGCACCGCCTCCTGCTTGGACACTGCCGGCCCGTGCTTAGCTCGACCCTGGCAGCTAAGCTGGAGACCGGACTTTGGCTTGGCTGGATGCAGTGAGCCGGATCAGCTTTTGCTGCTTTCGGAGCTTATCTTGTCGGAGTCGTTCCTTGGAAACCTTTTGGTTGCGGTTCAACTGCCTGTCGTTCCTGTAGTGATTCTGATTTGTGGTATGTTCCCTGGCGTCAGGTTTCGCACAAATGCAGACCTGGGAGGGGTGGAGAAGATCTCAATCACGAAGGTGTCAAAGGAATGGCTCGAGCGTGAATACACACCTATGAAACCATTGAACGGTTGCTCGCTGGTCAAGCTATGTATGTTTTTCCAAGGCGTTAGGAAAACACAATGCTTTCGCTAATCCTGGGCAACCCTTGAACCGTCAAGGTACTTTGGCTCCACCATTTCACATCGCCTTTGTGAAGGGCTGGCGGAGATGTTTGGCACTGTTGGGGATCTGTCAAGCAATCCGGGAGCTCGGGTGCATCGCCGAGATTCCAAAACATGTTAAGGAGCAAGCTTTGGGTGAATAAACTCCCAGCATCGTTGCCACTATCAACGGTTCCGGATCGCTTTTTTATGCAACTTTCAGGACAGCTTTGCAACCATCTACTGCACGGTCGTCAAGTTTGACTCCATGCGGGGCACAGTATTTGCCAACCGGGGAGCCTAGGAAAAACAACATGATGGACCACTATTGTTCGTCTATCTTCAAATTGAGTATCATATTTGGGGTAACTTGTAAGAGATGACTCCCCCCAACAAACTATTTGATAATATGTTTTTGCCAGCTCGGCATGCTTGTGGCTAAGGAATCACCCTCCAGGCAACCCAAGTCCGTCGAGCACCTCACTGCTTTAACCTCCTTCGACAACTCCGCGTGCTGCAGAAAAGCAATGCGACCTCAGTGGAAGGACACTTCGCAGATGCATGGCCTAATTGAGCCAACAGTTGGATTCAACCGATGAGTTTCTGTTTTTTCTAGTCGGTATCAAAGGCTTGCCAAAACTTACGGACCCAAACAATTGTCTCTCTCACTTGGCTTGCTTCAGGACTGGGAGAGTGAGACCTCTATTTGCAAAGCCTTTGCTATCGGCAAGACCGAGAGCAAAGCGGTCGTGCAGCTTTGCACTGGGATGAACACTACCATCCGCGAGAAATTGGAGGAGGCTGTGAGGCGGTATGGGATGAGGGCATTTATCTACCACGACGTCATAGCTCGTGAGTGCTTCAGTCGAGGGTATTCTTCAGTCACACCCGGTATGGAAGCATGGGCCAAGCAGCTGACAAACAGCTCGAAGGATACTGACCCACTGGTAGCCTAGCTGCGACAAATTAAGAGAACGCACAAGTCCACCCCCAGGACTACTTTGTTGAAATGATTCGCGGTTCTTTTGGTTGCAACATTATTTAATGTTCCAGGCTGTATCCCAGGGATAGTCGTGCCAAGGTATCTTTGTTTCTGGACAGGGTGATCAATGACTTCAAGAGAAGCCCACCGGACATCCGAAAGCCACTGAACTACAAGGATGCTCTTGGAAAACATCAGGTGTGTGGCGCCTACATCCACTTCAAAGCCATGATGCAGTCCACGTGTCCAGAGGGCGAATGGGCCGACCTCTCCAAGGAGTTGGACACAGCTTTCTACGACCAGTTTTTGGACGCTGACCTTTTGTCGGCTTTGCAAAGCTCCGTTCCTCCGGGTGATGTCGGGGCTATTGGTGCGATGAGGCAGTGTCATATCAAGCTGTGAGTAATTGGTCAGCATAAACCAATCAGTGTGAGTTGGGGTGTCAAGCTCTAAAAGAAATTGGCATTGGGTAGCCATGGTTCAGCCGATCAAAAGTTTCCAACAAACAACCGTATACCGACGCCAGGGCCCACCTTGTCAAGTTTAACAAAATGCACAGCGCTGAGATGGACAAAAAGGAGGAGGAAGCAGCCCGTGAGGTGATCGCAGCCACCTTCAAGCAGCTGAGCGCTCAGCTGGACCATGACATGTCCATTCTTGAGCAGAAGGTTCTTAAGTCCAAAGCTCAAGAGGCAGCAGCTGCAGTGCAAGATGCAAAGTTTCTCAGAGATCGGCAGCAGTCCCTCAGCTTTGCCTAAGATTTGTTCCACGTTTCGTGCTCGTCCTTGGGTGTTCTGTAGCGCTGTTCCATGATTCTTTGTTGACCAAAACGCGATGAGGAAGGGGACAAAGTGGGTACAAAGCTGGATGGAACAGCACTGTGTCCTGGTCGAAACGGATGAGAAGCTGTCTCTGGCAATGAGTGAGTTTGCGACATTTACCTCGAAGTTCCAAAACTCTTCAGGGAGGAGGTCACTTGGCAGTGCGTTAGGGTGAGACTTGATGTTAAGGATTGTGATGATCGTGAATACCAATGAAGCAAAGCATGGCTCTTTAGCTTTTTTTCAATTTTATTTAACCCTAGGTACACTGTGGTGGGCTTGGACACAACATTGTGGCCGAGCAACGCTGCCTACTTGGGAGCTGCTGTGAATGCCACTTGCAGCATCGTCAACATGTCACAGGACAACATTTGTCACTGTCAGCTTCCCCAACTTCAGAGTTCGACCAATGCCGCCACAGTCCTGAAGCACAAGAGGACCCTGGAGGACAACCTCATCGGCCAAAAACTCGATGTTGGGAACATGGTGGTTCTCAGGTTCACCAAGCCAGAGTCGCAAAGGAATGATTCCAGAAAGCCATCCCAAGCTTGCATTGCAGCGCACAGTGCCAACTTCAAGGTAAGCAGCTTTTGCGAGTCGGACCCCATCCGGTCATCGACGATTGGACCAGCTCCACTCATCAAGACTTCCCAAATGCTCGGCTATGATATGGAGGATGGCAGCATGAGCGCTGGCTTGAGAACCGAGCAGAGTCTTGCCCGGCCCAAGAGCAGATTTTGGGTTCCAAGGTAGTAGGTTTGACCCCTCCAAAGAAAACTCACCTATGCAGCGCAATTTTGTTTTGGTTCGCGATGTGTCTATCGAGGAAAGGGTTGCCGATCCATGTGGAAATTTTGAAGTCCTACGCAAATGGCCTTGGCTTGCGCGATGCTGACCACTATCTGTGGGTTGACATCATCCCCAACAGGTGGGAAGGGCTTGGGAGGCAGCGTAATCTTTAATTTGCGAACTCAATCTACTTTGGACCGCTGTAAATGGTTCCATGGTGAAAATTAGAAGGTTTTTGTTGAGTTCATCCAATGTTTGGATCAGGCACTGTGAGTTTGCTCGTGCTGCGGCGGAGTGCATTTTGGACAAGACCCTCCCACAGCTTCGTTACATAGGCTTTGTGAAGAAGGAGTTCTTAGCTAAAGTGCAGGAGGCAATCTCGGCTACTGTGTATCAACACTGGGATGATAGCACGGAGTCGGGACCAAAGACCCGCCCACAGGAAGCTGAGAGCAGTGAGCCACTTGGGTTCAAGGTTCTCAGCATGTCCGCTAATGGTGACATCACGTGGCCAGACTCCGTGACAACACGATTCCCTCCAGACACCTCTGAGTTCAAGGCTCTTGACGCCAGGCGCCAGAAGTTCTTGGAGCTATGTCCTGCGCACGGCACACCAGCCCAAGTCGGGGAGGCAAGTGTTTCAAGGTCATCTGCGAGACCAGACTACAGCATTGACAATGGTGCGGAGCCTTTGGATACAACCCGCTTGTTGGACTTGCCCGGCGTGCCAACTGCTGAGTTTACAGCCCAGAGGCAAGGTCGTTGAAAACACGGTGATAATGTTTAAATAGAATTGGGGACATGGGCCTTCCTAGTTATAGGACAGGAATGATTCAGTGGTCTTTGAAAATCATGTCAATGAGTGGTATGTGTGACCTGCATCTTTGAAACATCATCCCTATCAAAAATCTATGCAACGCCTGGCAGGCTTGCGACGTGCCCTGGAAAGGGCGACCGTCCCTCTGTGGTAGTGACTACTGACTTCAAGCTTTGGATTGGGAACGAGGGAGATGACATGCTGAAGGTGGCACCATTTCCAATCCTTGGTTTTGGGCTTGGTGAATTTGAGGAGAAATGCGTTGGAGGCCATTTGTTTCCTGCTAGCTGCTAGTTCCTCACCATGATGTTGTGGCTTAGGACCTTTTGGAAACAATTTTTCGTTTCAGGCCCTGCGTCTGAGCACTACAAGAAGTTTGTAGTTTGGAGGCTGTCGGATGACAAGGAGCTTGTTTGCTTGGATGGAAAGCTTACACCACTTTGCTCTGTGCTAGAGCAAATGTCTTCAAAGCATGGCTTGGTCGATGTACAACTTCTAGACCACATGTTGACCCAGAAAATGCGACCGGTGTCCTGTTTGCGTTTTGCTTGTGCAAAATACGGTGCTGTTCATTTTCTCAGGCTCCCAGCCCCCCCGATCTCCTCTTTTCCCAAGGCAGTTGATGGAGAGGAGACCATGCCTGCACCATTTCGGTACAACGTGCAGCCGGCACCCGGAGAAAAAACAAACTGTTTGAAACCAAACAATTTTGATGTTCAAGATCCTCTGAATGTGAAGCACCAAATCCTTGGACAAGCGTACCACGGGAACTTCGACAAGCTCTGCAATAACAAGCGGGCTGGAGTGGTTTGGGAAGCCCCTCAACCAATTCTCAAGCTTGTTTTGGATTCTTTCTTTCTGTTTGAGCCAAATAGTGTGGAACCTTTCAACATCTTTCAACAAAGGTCCCAGAACCCCCTTGGGGCCCTTGTCAAAATCCTAGGTGAACATGGGCACTGGTGTGCCTCCCAAAGTGATGCCGGTAAAGCCAAAACTCTGGCTACTTTGCAACTTGGAGATGGCTGGAAAAACTTGGTACCAGCTCACCTCTTGCGCATAGATGGTAGCCATTTTGCTAGCTGGGCCCGTGAACGACTTTCCGTGGAAAGTTTAGAGCAAGTGCTTGACTCATAGATGGGCACTTCCTGTTTCCAGGCTTAAACTCAATTGAATGTAACTGGACCAGTAGCATGTCACATGTCTATACACGGCAGGTAGCATCCAAAGAGTCAAGACAACCTCGACGCACGCTGTCACTCAGGGGTGGACAAAAAAGAGAGCACCAGGGTCACCAAAGTCCAAATTTGTCATAATGAACTTGCAGTTGGATGGAGTGGGCTAGTCCAAAGTTGCCTGCTCTTCCCGTTCCCAGATCAAGCGGCGGGACTGAAACATCTTTCAGTCAGTTTTGCTGGCCTCATCATTTGCGGCCATCACCATGCCATGCCTACCACGTGTCGCAGAGATCACCGAGAGCGAAGAAGAGGAGACCGGGGCACTGGAGCATCCATCCTTCAATGTAGTCGTATATAAATGCAACTTTTCAGGGATTAGGTATTTCTTTTCCTCAATGACTCAGTCAGATGACCAAAGTTTCTGCAGGAGCCGGATGCTGGAAGACAAACCGGTAAACCAAATTCAACTCCGAAACCAAAAGCGAAGCCGAAAGTGAAAGGGAAGGTGAAAAAGGAAAAAACCTACCACTGCCGAGCCCAGTTCAAGCAAGAATGTGACTGCGACAGGTTCCAACGAGCCTCGTCGTCGTACTGGTCGTGCCAAGGCCAAGGCCAAGGCAAAGGTTCAGCCTAAGCGCAAAGCCAAGGCCAACAAGAAAGCTGAACCTGAGAAAGCCGCTTCAGAAACACCTGATAATACCAAGAAGGAACCTGAAAAAGAAAAACCACCAAGAAAGCGACCAGCAGCCTCTGGAGGCACGCTCTAGTGTCATTGAACAAGCATGTTGTCTCATCATCCCCATCTTACATGTTGTGATTGGATGTTATTGGCCCGGAGGTGGGAGCAAGATCGGGAACCCGTACTGCTACACCAATGGCACTTGGGCCTTCAAAGTCGATGGCAGCGAAGCGGTCCGAGCAACTCGGCTGGTGTTCTCGAGTTTTGGCATTCGGGGTACTGGTGGATGCTGGTGGCATGCATTTTTTTTTGCCTCATATAAGGTTGGTGGTTCGAAGTACGACAAGGATGCGGTCAAAGAGATAATCGCCTCCTACTCAGTGGCTTTGCCATTTCTCTTCTAAGTCTCCTCAACCTCCTCTTATGCACAAAAGACATTTATTGTTCCCTAGTGGGGTTCCTTGGGTTGCAAGGATGCGGCACATGCTGAAGTCGTCAAGGGTGGATCAATTCAAGATGCCAAGAACCTTTCCGCGACTTGGCTAGACTAGGCAAAATACAACTTGCTGAATCGGCTCCTAGGTCCAAGTACCAAAATTCATGGATTGTTCTTTCGTGCTCTTTCGCAAGGTGATGATGTTGGAGAAGCTAGATGGTGGCAACAAGCCATGTGCCAAAGTGCTTCCCAGGAAGGAGACGCTGGATCTGATGATCCCACCACCACCAACCCCTGAAGATGAGAAGGGTGGAGACCAAACGAAGGAGGGTGCCGATGAGGCCGATGAGCCTGATCAGGGGGAGAATGCGGAAGAAGAGGAGGTGGAAGATGATCCTGAAGAGATCTGCTAGGAACATAATAGATTCGCTGAGGCTCCCTGCGGAAAAAATCTCACGCGGCCGCTGCGCTGCGGCAGTGCTGCTGCTCTGGGGGGTGGTTTGGATGGAGGGCTCTCTGTGAGGCTTTAAGAGAGGGTTTTCGGTCTAAATTTAAGATGTACACTTCAGTGGCCTGAATCAAATCAGTGGCCTGATTAGCATGAAAATGTTTTTAAAGTAAATGGTATTCACTCTTAAACCGGAATCGTTTGGGTGCTCATTCGCAACGATGGGAGTGAACTGGCACCCGGGAGGGAGGAAAGACCAGCGATCTCTTGGGGAACGAACGAACGAGTGAAGGATCACATCCATCACCACAGAAAATCCAATCAAATGATCGGTCTTCACAAAAGAGTCACCATGTTCTTCAACCCTGGTTGGAGTTGTAGCAAGTGCCTCGCAAGTAAGTATCTGCGAGTGGTAGCTTCCGGCCTATGTTCGGAACTGGATCCGGACCTCACTCCAAGCCTCGACCCACGAAATTGGCAGCCTCGAATTTTTGAAGTGCCTGACATCCGCTAGCGCCGTCTGACCACCTAGACCTAGACTGCCTAGACGGCTAGACCGCCAGAAAGGGCGCGAGAGCGGCGCGAAGCGCGCAGGGGCGCGGACGGAAGAATGACTCCGGCAGGGGGTTGAAACGAGTCGAAAATTGCCGACTGGTTTGGCGAAGCCTCCCGACCGATTTCTACCGATTCCCTTAAGAGACCAATCCCTAAAAGAGGTTCAAGACCATAGGACAGCAGATTGATTTGCTTGGTGTTTTCGACTTGGATCATTGCTTGAGCACGTCCCTGATCATTCTTCAATTGGGTTCACCCGGGTTCATTGGATTTTGAGCATCGAAACCGCATCGAGCGGGGACGTTTTGGGGAAAATTCCCCATCCCAAAAGTGGTTGGCAACGGTATTTTGAGCTGTTTACTCCATGTACGAAGCTGCCTGCAGCGGTGAAGCATCGAGCGGGAACCAGCAGTGTGTCTGTTCTTAGCGATCGTCCGACTGGCCGTGGGTTGCTGTCGGACAAGCGCCCGTGAGCTGGCGTCACACAGAGGCTGAGACCGGTACGATCTACACTCCCTGGAACGACATGAAAGTAGACCATAGCCCCATGGTAAGACCAATGAAGACCATTTTCCTCTACAAACCGCTTCGGTTTTCCACTTCCATGTTAGCTCCAGGAAGAGTAGGTCGGTTTGTTGGGGATATTTTTTGGATTGGATCCCGGATCCAACGAACAAAGCAGATGTGCAAGCCTAGCTCCCGAGCGGTGTTCTTTGGACACCAAGCGCGGGTGCTTGGAAAGATCGCATAGCGAGGGAACTGCCCTGGTCCCACCGGAAGAAGCGGATCCATCTGCTTCGCTGCTTCGCTGAGGCAACTTGGATCCCAGCTTGAAGGCGATGCAGGCATGTCTCGCCTCAGTCGCCGCCGTCTCTGGATGTGAGGAATAGCTGGGTTTCTCTTAATGAGATGACCCAGGGAGCTGGCAGAATTCGTTTCTTTCGGAGTTGACCCGATGTTGACCCGGGTCTTCAGTCAGTCAAGTCTCAAGTAGATGCTGCATCGAAGTAAGTTTCTTGCCGAAACAATCCAGACGCCCATGGGCCAATGAGTGACTTGTGGATGTTTGATGTTCATAAGTCATGGTGAATACTCTTCGATGACATGTTGCAGAAGCTGGCAACAATGTTGTTTTTTTGGATCCAAGCTTCTCTATACTGAGTATATCTGAGTATGTTGTATCCCCGACCCAGGTAGCCTAAGGGATGGCAAGTGTGTACAAGTTGTCCGGAATTCGACTGACGATGAATGGACCCTTTCAGATTCAGATGAATTCAGAGCTCCAAGACACTCTAAGAACGACGCAGCGGAGAAGAGCCACGTGTGGTAGATACTTCCGTTTCGTAGATGTATCCTATGGATCCACATACCCTCTCAGAAGGTACGACTGGACCCGCCAAAGGCTATATAAAAGACTATAAAAGAGTCTGCAATCACCTTCTCAAAGGGTATGTGGACAGGGTCCCTGGTCTACGGGCTGTGATCATAGTGGGAATGATCTGCTTTGGGAGACCCGGAGACCTGGGCCTAGAGCCATAGCTGGTTGCAGCATGACTGTAGCTTTTTGTTGAGTTCCAGGGAGACGCATCATGTGTGATATTGAATGATAAGAACTATAATGTTTGATGATTCCCATATATTCCCATAAAACATCAT